TGAAAAAGTATGTCTCGTGCGAGGCACTGGCTTTCGCACCCCAGGGGGCCCAGACGGCGAGGATGTCTGGATCGGTTTGTTCGTCTGCGATGTCTCGAGCGAGGCGCGGATTTCAGCACCCCCGCGGGGGAGCCACCAGGGAGCATTGCAGGCTCAAGGAGGCGCCAGGAGGCAACAGGAAGTCCCAGGAGGCATCAGGAGGCCGCAGGAAACCACAGGAGGCCCCAGGAGGCCACAAGAGTCACCAGGAGGCCCTAGGAAGCTCCAGGAGGCCCCAGGAAGCACCAGGAGGCCACAGGAGGCCACAGGAGGCTACACGAAGCGACAGAAGGCAACAGGAGGCTCAGGAAGGCTCCAGGAGCTCCCACGAAACCCCGGGAGCAGCAGGCCTCAGAAGGCCCGAGGGCTGGTTCCAATCCCAAATGTTTTGCGTGTGTTCCCATAGTTTGTCCCTCTCCTGCGTATCCACTCCCAAGTGTTTACGTATGTTCCTGTAGATTTGGCCTCCCTTGGGGCACGAGTCCTCGCATGTTCCTGTAGATCGCCCCTCTCCTATGGCTCCAACCCGAAGTGTTTCACATATGTTCCTATCTCTCTCTCTCTCTCTCTCGATATATATATATATATATATATATATTGGGCCTCTCCTGGGGCACGAATCCTCCATAGGAGGCCCTAGGAGGCTCCAGGAGGCCCCAGGGGGCAAGAGGCTCCAGGAGGCCCCAAGAGGCTCCAGGAGGTCCCAGGAAGCCCCAAAAGGTTTCAGAAGGTCCCAGGAGGCCCCAGGCTCATGCGCAGAGACGCACTAGTACTATTGAGACTCATTCACAATCCAACCCATTCACAGTCAAATTCGCTTCCCGACGGTCAAGTTTCAAGCCCGCTTATATCAGAAAGTTCTTGCGCCTGGACACTCACGGCGGACAGGTCCATGCTAATAGGTGCACACATGGGGAGCCCCACGTAGTGAGTAATGTTATGTTGAAGTGTCGTGTGCTACGGTATGTTATGGTATGGTTTGTTGCTATGTTATGCTACGCTATGATGATGATGCTGCTGATGATGATGATGCTGATGATGATGCTGATGCTGATGATGCTGATGCTGGTGATGCTGATGATGATGCTGATGATGATGATGTTGATGTTGATGATGATGATGATGATGATGATGATGATGATGATGATGATGATGATGATGATGGAGCAAATTCTGAGGATTCCTCAGGCGAGGCGCGGGTTTCAGCACCCCCAGGGGGGAGCCGCCGCGCCAAAATGCCGGGGTTGTTTTGAGCGGTGTGCTTGTTCCCTGCCGCCAGATCCTCCGCTGTCAGAACTAGTTTGGAGCACCCCAAGGGGGAGCCGCCAGGGAGTATTGCATTCCTCCGTTCGCGCCAAACTGGCAGAAATGTCTTGATCGGTTTGCTTGTTTACCAGCTCAACATCCTCCGCTGTCGGAGCAGATTTGGAGGATGTCTCGAGCGAGGCGCCCCGTTTCGCCCCCTAGTGGGGCCAGAAGTTGAGGATGTCTCGATCGGTTTGTTTGTTTGTGTGGCCAGGCTCGTGGGCACGGATCCTCCCTAGGATGCCACAGGAGGCTCCAGCGGGCTCCAGGAGGCCCCAGGAGGTGCCAGGAGGCAACAGGAGGCCCCAGGAGGCATTAGTAGGCCACGGGAGCATTCAAGAGGCCACAGGATGCCCCAAGAGGCTCCAGGAGGCCCAAGGAACTCCAGAAGGCGTCAGGAGGTTCCAGGATGCTTCAGGAGGCCACAGGAGGTTACAGGAACCCCCAGGAGGCTACAGGAAGCGCCGGTAGGCACCAGGAGGCCCAGGAAGGCATCAGAAGGCCCCAAGAGGCTCCAGGAGCAGGAGGCATCAGAAGGCCGCAGGAGTGGCCCCAATCCCATGTGTTGTACGTATGATCCTATAGATGGTGCCTCCCCTGGAGCACGAATCCTTGGTGTTTTACGAGTGTTTCTATATATTGTCCTTGTCCTGTGCATTCACTTCTACGTGTTCTACTTATGTTCCTGTAGATTTGGCCTCCCATATGTGCACGAGTCCTTGGTGTTTTACGCGCGTTCCTATAGGTTGCCCTTCTCCTGCGGCTCCAATCCGCAAAGTTTTATTACGTATGTTCCTATAGATTGGGCCTCTCCTGGGGCACGAATCTTCCCCAGGAGGCCCCAGGAGGCTCCAGGAGGCCCCAGGAGGCCACAGGAGGCCCCGGGAGGCCGCAGGAGGCCACAGGAAGCCCCAAGAGGCCACAGGAGGCCCCAAGAGGTTCCAGAAGGCCGTGAGAAGACCCAGGAGGTTTCAAGAGGCCCCGGGAGACCCCAGGCTCATGCGCAGAGACGCGCTCGTACTATTGACATTCATTCACACTCCAACTCGTTCACAGCTAGATCCACTCCCAGACCGTCAATACCCAGGCCCGCTTATATTCGAAAACTCTTGCGCCTAGACGCTCACGGTGAACAGGTACATGCGTATAGATTCTTATTTGGAGAGCTCCACGCAGTGAATCATGTAGTGCCGCTTCTGTACGAAGAAGTCATTCTTTTGTTTTTAGTACTGGGTCTTTCGTGACGATCAAGGCTTCCTTGGCTGGGCATTATTTCTTGTCCTTGAGGGCTTCACCCTCTGTCGCCGGCCCCCTCTTTAACATAATGGGGTTGTGGCAATGGGATGTGCGACAGCTATGTTGGGGCGTGTCGGCACTGTTTTGGAAACTTCTGGCAGCATCATGCTAGGACGGTCGGCATGCAGTTGGCAGTTTGAGATGTTTGAAGGCTTCGTTTACTTCTCAGAGCGCGAGCCTGGCGCACTTCACCCGACAGTCAGGCTTCGGACGCGCGAAACTGGCGTCATGTACAAGGGCCTCCGGCCTCGGCAGCGCGAGTTTCGCAGAAGGTAGTGGTCAATTCGTATAGGGCTCCTGGCTTCGGGAGCGCGCGAGCCTGCTGTCATTCTCCACGGCTTCTGTGCTGGGGAGCACGAGCCTGGTGTGCTTCAGTAAGGAGTCTGGCTTCGGGAGCACAGATCTCGAGTAATTTACCATGGGTTTGGGCCTCGGGAGCGGGAGCCTGGCGTAAATGACCAAGAGGGCTTTGCTTTCGTGAGCGCACGCCTGGTGTGATTTATAAAAGCGGTTGTGTGTTTTGGCCCCGCGCGCGCGATGCCCATGTTCTTAACGTATGTCTGGGCTCCTCCTGAATTCTCAGAGCCCCGGGAGGATTGAGGGGGGGGGGAAGGTAGGTTTTCAGTTGCCCCCCCTCGCGTCGACAGGAACAACCAAAAGCCGAGAGCAGGCAAGAAAAGTTCAACATTGGTGATTGGAAGCTGGAGCTAGTGCACGGCGCAGGCAACCTCATCCGCGCCGCCCGGTTGCCCCACAGGGGCTGGCGGGTATAGATTCCGGAGTAAAGGTTTTTGTCAGTAAGGGTTCTTTTGTAAGATTCTGTGTTAAGGGTTCTTTGATGATACGGAACCTCTACAGAATTGATCCGCATCATGAGTTCCCAAGGATTCTTCCGTACAGGCATTGGATTAAGGATTACGGTAACGACCCCTTAGTAAGAGCATTTAAATTTCCTTACGGATTCTGAAGCAAGGCCACATGGAGCATTTTTCATTGGACTCTTTGATAAAAGTTTCCTTTGCAATGGTCCTTTGACAATTATTCAGGACTCTTGAGTACGGAATGTTCAGCAAAGGTTTCTCATTCAAGATTATGTTACGAATTGTTAGTTTAGAAAGTATGGTTTACGTTGTCCTTATTCAGGAATCCTCCATAGAGGCCTCGTACGAATGATTCGTCAGCAACGATCACTTCCCAATAATTCCTCATTGAAGATTAACTGGTAAAGATTTGTATTAAGGGTTCCTTTGTTAGGATACCGTAGTTGGGAGTTTGTACTGTGGATTATGTAGCAAAGGATCTGCACTGAGGGTTATTCAGTAAGGGTGGTATTGTATTTTCCTCACGTTTCCAAACTGATTTTCATTCGCTTTTCCTGGCCGCAGAACGCTGAAACGGCCGAAAAGGCTTGAGAGATCGCCCAAGGACGGCCCAAGCCGTGCCTAAGAGGGCCCCAAGACGCCCCAAGATGGCCCCAAGATTGCTTCGGAGGCCCTCAGGACGGCCCCAAGAAGGGCCCGAGCATGCATTCCGAAGGCTTCCCCCCGATCCAGCCCCTTCCACGACCAACAGGCCCCCCAGACACCTCCAAGAGGCTCCGCGAAGCCCCCGAGGGACCCTCAGTGAGGCGCGGGAGAGGCTCCCATCAACCCGGCGGCAAGCCCCAGAAAGGCCTTCGAGGGACCCCAAGCAGCCTTTCAGAGCCCCCAGAACGTTTCCGAGCCAGGAGAGGCGAACCGCGATCGGAGAACAAGGCGGAGAACGGGCCCCCCCAAAAAAATCGGGGAGGGGTGGCACGCGATCTGAAAGTAGTTTGGACACTTGCCGGAAGAAAATTCGAGGAGGGGGCCGGGAGCAAATTCGAGAAGGGGGGAAACACGATCAGAGAGCAAATTGAAATTAAGCCAGGAGGATATTCGAGCAGCGGGGAAACGCGATCGGAAAACATCGAGAAGGGACGCATTGCGATCGGAATACAAATCGGAGAGCGGCCCAGAAGGAAATTCGAGGAGGGGCGATCGGAAAGCAGTTCGCACACGGGCCGGAGGAACACCAACTGAAAGCAAATCGTGAACGGGCCAAAAGGAAGAGGAAACGCGATCGACGAGCAAATCGGACCTGGGCCAGAAGGGAATTCGAAGAAGGGGGGATCGCGATCGGAAAACACATTGGATTCGGGCCAGAAGGAAATTCGAGGAGGGGGAAACGCGATGGGAGAGCGATCGGACAGCACATCGGGAACAGGCCGAGGACAGCGAAGGTCGATTCCCACGTCATCATTTCAGCCTTTCGGCAACATGCCCATAAGCACAAAACAATTCGTGCAGAGTTCGTGGACGCAGTCAACGGGTCAGCCCTAGTCAGCTACAACATTGGGATCAGCGCTTGCGAGAAAGGCGGCCAGTGGCAGCAGGCAAGGTTATTACTGACCGAGTTGACGACGTCGCAGTGCGAGCCAGACGTCATTAGTTATAGTGCTGGGATAAGTGCTTGCGAGAAGAGTAGGCAGTGGCAACAAGCGATGTCTCTGCTGAGCGAGTCAAGGGAAGCGAGGCTGAAACAGAACATCGTGTTGTACAATGCTGCGATTAGTGCTTGTGCGAAATGTGGAGCTTGGCAGCAAGGGGTGATATTGCTGAGAGAATTACGAGATGAAAAGATGGAGCCCGATGTAATCAGTTACAGCGCCGGAGTAAGCGCGTGCGAGAAAGGTGGACAGTGGCAACAAGCGTTGTTCTTGCTGGGCGAGTCGAAGGCATCGAGCGTGAAGGCGAACACCATCAGCTACAATGCTGCAATCAGTGCCTGCGAGAAGTGCGGGGAGTGGCGCCAGGCACTGTCGTTGCTCAGCGAGTTGTGGGATGTCAGGCTTGAGCCAAGCACCATCAGCTACAACGCTGGGATCAGCGCTTGCGAGAAGGATGGCCAGTGGTTGCGCGCCCTATCACTCATGAGCGAGCTTTGCGACGTGGACCTGGAGCTTGATGTTATCGACTGCTGCAATGCGCGCTGACGCACGAAGCAAAGGTGCATACAGTGGGGGCGCGCATCAAGAAACAATCCACTTTTCGTCAGGGTACCCTTGGTGTCTTCGCTCCGCGCGATGCGCGGTGACCTCCCGCGGCCGTTGCAGGAGCTGCTGCGCTCGGGGTGCTCCGGGGTTCCCCTCAGTTGCACCTCGCGCGCGGGTTTTCAGGGCTCACCACCTACCAAACCACCCCAACCCAACCCGAAGGCCTCCATTTGCCCTCCATTTCCAGTGGGGGGGGGTCGCGGAACATCGAAAAAACACGTATGGAACCCATACCCCCCCCCAACCCGAAATTTGGGTCTTCGGGTTGGGTTGGGGTGGTCTGGTAGGTAGTCAAGGGCTGGGTTTCTTGCGAGGGTTTCTTGCGACCGCGCCCGCACTGTAGGCCTTGATGGGTGCGCTGTTGGTCACCAGAGGCAGTACGAGTCGGGCGGCACTGCTCGACCTCCAGGGAGATCGGCGGCGCGCCCCGGGGGGGGGGGGGAGCGGAGCAGGCGCGCGCAGGCCTCCTCAGCAGGTGGCGGGGCTTCTCAGAGGCCCTCCAGCCTTCGAGGCGTGGCTCTTTTCGGCGCCTTGCCGGCCGAAGAGCCCCCCACCGTCAGCTTGCAGCGCCGGCGAGAACGGGTGCATTTGAAGGCCGTTTGCTTCCTCAGCCAGCGCGTTGACAAACACGCGCAAGAGCGAAGCACGGAGGATAGCGCCAGGGGGAGTGCGCAGGGAACAAAAAAAAGCCCTCCAGCCTTCTGAGAAGAGTTCTGCGTCTTCGGGGAAGGCTGAGAAAACTGCTCTGAAGGCCCAAGGCCTTCCGAGCCTTGTGAGAAGGCCCGCCCCTTGTCGCTTCTCTCCCGGGCGCGCCGCCCAAAAGAAACCAGAGGGCTCCAGGCGAACCCCCGAGTGATACCCACGAGGTCAGGACGAGCACCCGACGGAAGCCCAGAGACACTGGGGCGACGTCTGGGCGAAGCTTGTTCGACATCGGGGTCCGCGTGAAGGTTGGCTTGGCATTCGACAAAGATCGTTCGTGTGCTGCCTCCCTCCATATGTTCTCTCCCTTCCCATGTCAGGGCTCAAGTCGATTCCTCCGATTTGATTCGATTTCGATGGCTTCCAATTCCGATCCGATTCGTCTTCGGATTCCGATTCGGGCTCCGATTTCTCAATGGAGGCTTGCTAGCCTGCTGATTTCCACCGGTTCGACTTCTCCCGATTCGACTGCCAATGTCCGCCGATCCGATCCATGTCGTTCGCCGATCCGACTCGTCGATTTGAGTATAGGTTCGTTCGCCATTTGTTTCCAATGTGGACTGCATTGTGCCATCTGGATAACCCCCTTGGCTATCTTGGGCCGTCTTGGAGCCTTCCAGGGCTATCCCAGACGTCCTCACGCGTCGTGCCCCCCCCGCCCAGACGCAGGGGAGGCCTTCCCATGATGTAACGGGTTAGCTCCTCCAGTCGACGATGGTTGCCACAAGGCTGGCGCGCCCTGGCCCAATGACAACCTCAAATAGCCTCCAAGAGCGGCGTCCAGCGCGGCCTAGATGGTTCAGGATTGTGATCCGAGACGGCCAGACGGCATCCAAAACGGCCAAGACGGTTCAGGATAGCCTCCAAATCGGCCCAAGGTGGCACCAAGGCGGCTTCAGGAGGGCCCCCGAGTGACCAAGGGGATCTAAGCGTAGAGAGCACGAGTCACCGGGCTCACGGGCGTTCCTTGCCCGCCACCCCCTTCCCAAGGCTGGCTTCTTGTTGTCATCACCCGTTCCAGCTCGGCCAACGCTGGCGGTCCGAGACGGCCAGGCAGCACCCAGGATTGCCAAGGCGTCTCAGGATAGCCTCCAGATCGGCCCACGGTGGCACCAGCACGGCCTCGGGAGGGGTGCATGTTCCCTCCCCGTGTCCCCCCCCCAGGCTGGCCGTGTTCCTTCTCCTCCTCCTCCTCCTCCTCCTCCTCCTCCTCCTCCTCCTCCTCCTCCTCCTCCTCCTCCTCCTCCTCCTCCTCCTCCTCCTCCTCCCTCCTCTTCTGCCTGGGGCGGGCCTTGCTTTGCTCTAAATGTTTGTCTGGGGGCCGCTCGCTGTGAACCGTGGTCGAAGGAGGACAACTCGGGGTTCCCACCCCCTGCAGAGGGCATTACGTCATTCGCTATATAGCACGCGGTAGATCGCACATAGCTGAATATTGTTCTGCGTGTGTCGTTGTGTTGCTTCTCCTTCCTGTTCGCTGCTTCCCCTCCCGCTCGCTTCCCCCCCCTCCCATGGCGGCAGCGCCAGGCACTGCGCGGCTTCGGCCCGGTGCTAGGCGTTGCACTTTGCCGCCTTGGCGGCCCCGCTAGCCATGGCGCTGCGCTGCTCATGCCAGGCCCTTGGCATTGCGGACGTCAGCGCATCGTGTGTGGCTGCTGCCCGTCTTCACGCGCTGCCGATACAGGACAGGTTGTCTCCCTGCAGCTCACCGGCTTCCTGTCGGTCATGGGCGGCCAGTTCGTTTGGAGGTCGCACCTCAAGCTTCACTGCTGCCTGGTCGTGGATTGGACTACCACCCTGGGCCTCCTCTGCATCATCTGGTGGCACAACGTTGCTCATCGCCGTCGTGGTGCCCTTCTTCCTCCTGGGCGTCGACCTGTTCGCGGAGCACCGTTGACGGCAACACCACTCCCTTCGCCTTCCGGGACTTCGCCTTCGGTTCCTGTCCAAGGCGTACGTTTTCCTGCACATCCAGTTCGGCACCGCCTGTTCCCCGGGCCCCGCCCGCTCCTGGCCGCCTGAGGCCCCGCATTCCTGCGCCCTGTCTCCCATTAAAGCTGCGCGTAGCCCGCCTAGCTTCTAGCGGAAGAGGTTCGCTCTCGCCCCGCAGATCAAAAAGCGTTTCGTTGCTTCGCTGGCTGTAGACACGCGGTCCGAGACCGATTCGGCGGCGCCGGCTGTTCCTCCTCCTCCTCCTCCTCCTCCTCCTCCTCCTCCTCCTCCTCCTCCTCCTCCTCCTCCTCATGTTCCTCCTCCTCCTCCTCCTCCTCATCCTCCTCCTCCTCATGTTCCTCCTCTTCCTCCTCCTCCTCCTCCTCCTCCTCTTCCTCCTTCTCCCCCTCCTTCTCCCTCCTCCGTCCTGCTCCCCCTTCTTCTCCTCCTCCTCCGCCCTCGTCCTCGCATTTCTCCTCCTCCTCCTTCACCAGGGGGCGGAGTTGCACATCGCTGGGGGGTGGGCGCGCGGGTCTCACAGGGCGAGGTAGAATCAGGACGTTGACGTTTGGCTTTGTTCTTCCATGTTTGGAATGCTTGGAGACTTGCACTTCCTGGCTTCGGGAAGGGCGCGTTCAAAGAAGGCCGCCCCGACCAGAGTTGCATAACCCAATCGAAGTCAGAAAAGATCGCGACCTAAGGTGGATCGTACCGCGGAGAAAGCCAGGATAGTACATAAGGGCCCCCATGCTGAGGTTGAACATTGGACAGTGCCCTGAGACTCTTACTCTTAGTCTTACTGCTACTCGTACTCCTCATCCTCCTCATCCTCCCTCCTCCCTCTTCCCTCTTCCCTCCTCCCTCCTCCCTCATCCTTCCTTCCTCCTTCCTCCCTCCTCATTCCTCCTTCCTCCTCCTCATCCTCGTCGTCCTCCTGTTCCTCCTGTTCCTCCTCCTCCTCTTCCTCCTCCTCTTCCTCCCATTGCCTGTTGGCTGAATGTGGGAACGGCGCCATTTGAGTGTGGCAGTTCACCCCGGTGAGCTATCCTGAGGCCAGGTCAGGCTCACACCCCTGCTCTCACGCACGCCCTTCGCCGCAGGGGATCCACCCTTATCCTCGCACTTCCGTCAGCCCTGCCCCATGGCTCTCGACGCGAACGCTCTGAAGTCCCTCTCTGCGGAGATTCAGCCCGCGCAGCAGCGGATGGCGGCTCTCAGCGACAACATTTCTGAGACCATGATGTCCGTCAAGCGCCTGGACGGGCGGCCCACCGACTCGCTCGCCACAGTCAACCAGGACATCGCTGTCCTCCGCGAGGAGGTCCAATCAATTGCCGTTCGGACAGCCGCGCTGGAGCTCGCACAGCCTGTACTTCACACGATTCCCGACGGCGACAGCGACGTGACCGACGACGACCCCTACGGCGCTGCTCGCGGCCGCGACAACCTTCGACCTCTCGCAGGACACGATGTTGAGTTTGCCGCCAAAGCCTCCAATATAGAGACCCAGTTGAGCTCGTGACCTACATCGGCCACGGGGAGTGCTGCCTCTGCGAGATCAGATCCGTGGGCGGCCCCTTCTGCTTCACCGCCGCGCAGCCTCTCCAGCGCTGGCCGCCCGCATCCTGTGAAACGTGAGGGAAAGATCTGGACCAGAGCCTTCGCAAGCTATTGGCCACCTCCTTTGCCAATCATTTATTTCTCGGCCATCAAATCCAATATGGCCCCAGAGTACAACGACAAGTGCAGGCCGCAGGTTCTGAACTTCAACTGAAGCCACAACATCCTGTTTGACTCGGAGGACGACGCCCAGCTCTTCCATGCCGCCACTCGTGCCGACCCGCAGTCCCTGACGTGGGCCGACCCGCGCAACGATGAAGTTGCGCGCTTGAGAGCGGGGTGGTACCAACCCCTACCCATTCGCCACTGCTTCTACACCCTGGGCCAGCGTTGGCAGATCGTGAAACTAGGAACCAACCCCTTCTCCACCAACAGCGCCTCCGAGGACGTCTGGGACCTGGCGAAGATCAGCGAGAGCGAGGGCTCCAGCGACACGATGACCATCGCCCCGCTTGGCGACATGCGCACGATCGGTCCCGAGCAGAGTTTCATCGACCCCTTGGGCGAGCGCGACTCCGCGCTCATCGCCGAGCAGCGCTAGGGTTTTGTTTTGCTGGACATGGACTCGAGCTGCCTTCGCCATCCTCGGCAGCCTGGAGAGCGCACTGCAACTCAAAGCCAGCGCGGGCTTCCACGATCGGGGGGGCGCGTAGCGAAGGCGCGCCGTC